TTTATATTTATATTTATATTTATATTTATATTTATATTTATATTTATAATTTATATTTATATTTATATTTATATTTATATCAGCACAAATAAAAAATAAAACACACACACACACACACACACACACACACACACACACACATATATATATATAATTTAAAAAGATGAACGATGGATTAAATGGAAGCTGTAAATTGAACAATGAAGCGACGGATTAAAATCGAAGCTGTGAAAATTGGCATCCAGGGCTCTCAACCTGGTTAGTACAAACCATGGTTAGTTTACAGCACAAGGGTTTTTTCCCCCCAACTGCCCTGTGGTGGAAACCTAGTTAGTTGAGTACATGGACCAAAGCAAGGCTTTGGGGGGGGTCTCAAAACGTGGCCCCTTTAAGAGTTGTGGACTTCGACTCCCAGAATTCACGGAGTCGAAGTCCCCATGTAAAAGTGCCTTTCGCACATGCTCAGAAAACCCCTTGTCCTCCCTATCCCGTAACTTGGACGTTGGACGTTCCTATCCCGTACCTTGGACGTTGGTAGAGAGGCTCTCCAGAGGGACGTTATAAATGACAGCAATGTCCTGTGGAGAGAAGAAAGGGGGGGGAATGTCCCGGACTTATGACAGCTGTCGCATCTCAGAGTACTTGTTGAGTGGCTACAAGAAAGAAACACAGAAGGGGCATTTTTTGCTCTTCTGAGGCCTGATTTGACCCCCCAATTGCAATAAGTGAACTGGTCGAGAATGCAGGCAGTCCTCAACTTACGACCGTTTGTTTAGTGACCATTCGAAGTTCAAAGGGGGGGACGGACACCCTGACTTACGATCAAGGGCCAGGACCGGTACCGGCGTTCCCGGAAGTTAATTATTTCCGGGTTCACCGACGATCCGGTTCGTGCGAACCGGTACGAACCGGGAGGAACCCACCCCTGGATCAGTCCTCAAACTTATGAACGGCCGCACGGTTCCCCCCCCCCCCCCCCGCCCAATCGAAATTCGAACCCGCGGCCACGCGACTCGTATTTATGACGGCTGCAGCGTCCGTGAGGGACGGCCTCCCCAGCCAATGAGCAAAGTCAACGAGGAAGCTGGATTCGCTTAACGGCCGTTGCGATCTCTCGTTTTACAACCAGACCCAAAATAGGAGTGTGAAACGGGTGTGTGTGGGTGTGAACAACTGTCTCGCTTAGCCGTGGGGATTCGGGACCCGGTTTTGGTCGTAAGGCGAGGACTATGTGGAAGCTAATGAAGGAGAGGAGCAACCTAGAAGAAAGGAGGGATTTCCTGACAGTGAGGACAATTAACCCGTGGAACTGCTTGCCACCAGAAGTTGTGGTAGCTTTCATCACTGGAGATTTTTAAGAAGAGACTGGGCAGCCATTGGTCTGGAATGGCCTCCTGCTTGAGCAGGGGGTCGGACTAGATGATCTCCAAGGTCCCTTCCAACTCTGCTATTCCGTCTACCTATCTACTTCCTATCCATTTACTAGCTGTCTTTGTTCTCCCGCAGCCCCTGCGGCTCAGCGCATGGCCCTCACCTTGATTAGGCGCATGATGTCCTTCAGATCCCGGGGAGCGCATGGGCGGACCACAAAGCTCATGGTTCCCAGCTCCTCTGCTCCTCTCCCGTCTCTGGGACGGCCTCCGGGCTCAGCTGGGGCTGTTTTAAGGGCGGGAGAAGGAGGGGGGACGAGGGGGAGTTCCAGTTCCTCCTCTTCCTCCTCCTCCTCCCCCCATAGCTTGACCCACTTGCCCACTTGGCAAGAGCCCAACCGCGGATGGAGGGNAGGAGGAAATGGGGAGGGAAGGGAGGGGATGGGAGAGGGAAGGAAGGAGAGGGAAAGGAAAGAAGGAAGGAAAAATAAAAGGAAGGGAAAAGGAGGGAAAATAAAAAGGAGGGAGGGAGAAGGAAGGAAGGAGGAAAAATAGAAGGAAGAGAAGGAGGAGATGGGAGGGAGAAGGAAGGAAGGAAAACGAAAGAAAGAGGGAGGGAGGGAGGGAGGGTCTTCTGTGGCTCCCAAAGCTCACGATGTCCACCACCCTCACCCTTTCCATGGACAGGGTGGACTTTGGCCACATGTTGGTGGCCACCCTTGACCCCCACTGGACCCCCAAGGCCGCTTGCCCACCCCCCACCCCTCCAAAAGACCAAGTGGTGGCTTGGGAGGCCTTGGTCTTCTGAAGTGTGTAGGTAGGGCGGACCCTACAACAGGAAGGCCCCCACGTTGGACAGCGCATGGGGACAATGGCGCCAGCCCAGGCTCCTCCCTCCCTCAGGGTCCCACGAGTGGCGGAGGGGGGCTTCCCAAGCCCCTCCCTCCCTCCCACCCCCATCCACGGGCGTCTCTCCTCTCTCCCGACCTCTCCAGCTGAAGGAAGACTGGGAGTACGTGGCCTTCGTGGTGGATCGTCTCTTCTTCTGGATCTTCATCGTCTTCACCACCATTGGCACCCTCACCATCTTCCTGGACGCCAGCCTCCACTTGCCCCCCGAGAAGCCCTTCCCCTGAGGAGACCCTCCCACCGGGAAAGCCGGACCCTTCCTCCCGGCCCAGGCCAGCCAGAGAAGGGCCATCCAGAAGCTGGTGGAGATGCCTTCAACCATCTCCATCTTCTCCAACCTGGTGGTCCTTGGACTGGAACTCCCGTTTCTTCTCCCCACCGGAAGGGGGCTGAGGCCCATAGGAGTTGGAGTCCAAGACGGGTTCAAAAACCCTGCCCGCCCACCCCCCAGGAAAGGGTTACCCCCCTCCCCAAAGTCTAGCTACTTTTCACAACAGTGTTTTGGGTTGGAAGAAGGAATCCTGGAGAATTTGGGTTAGAAGACGATTGCGGAGGGATGTAATTTGGTTACTGTCACCCCAAATTTCCTCCGGGTCTCCCCCTAAGAGCCCCCCCTCCCAGTCTTGGGCGTTCCAGAAGGGCGAGACTACAGTTCCCATCATCCTTTGCACCGCTCGACAGCCAAACAGGATCTAACCGGTTCAGCTTTTCCTTTCTGAAAATTAAACCCTCATTTTATTTTATTTTTTGAAAATGCTACTTTTCCTCATTTAATGGGATTAAAGTGCAGAGTGCGAATCCATCCATTGGGGACTCAACGGTGTTTTCTCCAGAGGCAGATTCATAGTCCTCTACGTGCGACCACACACCCCAAATCGATCTGGCTAAGCGAGACCTTGGCTCGAGTTGAGCTTTGCCCCCGTTCTGCGACTTTTCTTGCCGCCGTTGTTAAGCGAATCCCTGCAGTTGATAAGGGAGTGGCACGGTTGTTAAGCAAATCCGGTCTCCGCCCGTCGACGTTGCTTGTCGGAATGGTCGCAAAACGGGATCGTGTCATCCCGGGATCCCGCAACAGGCACGAAGTACATGCCAGTTGCCAAGCCTACGAAGTTTGATCACGGGGTGTCTGCGACGGTTGTAAGTGTGAAAAACAGTCCCTTGTAAGTCCCTCTTTTGTGTCCCTTTGAACGGCCGCTAAAAGAACTGTTGTAAGTTGAGGACTAGCTGTAGAAGCCGCAACGAACCCAATTCCTTCCCAGTTGTGGACTGCCTCTTCCGTTTTCTCATAATTGGCCAAGAGTTTGCCGTTCAGAAGGGGGTCAGAATCGGGCAGGGGGGGTGAATAAGGATTTGGGGAGGGTCTTCGAAGGTTTCCCGTAGCCCAGAAGGAGAGATTTGGTGGAAAATCCGGATTTTTGGCCTCCGAAGACTCAGCGGTTTGCATCCCAACAGCTGCCCACCCCCCACCTCCGTTTCGCCCTCTCCTTGGGTGAACGGCACCCCAAAATTGTGGGGAGGGGGGTGTTCAGGGGGCAAAGCAGAGAGGACGCCAGAATCGGGGGGGCAAATGCCCCTGAAGGACCGAGGTTCAAAGTCACACCGAGAAGCCGTTAAATATTAAAAAAGAAGAGGCGGGTGCCAAATTTGTGAGGCTAACTAGAATAAAGGCCAGGACGAAACTTCTGCAAAAGCTTATTTTTTTTTTTTTTAATGGACCTTCCGTCCCTCGTGCAGATCCTAAAAATAAAAAAAGGTCCCAGCATCCATGCTTCCCGGCCGCCTCCCATCCTCCCCTTCCCAAGCGCTCGAGGCACTCGGGACGTGCTCAGGGACACTCTCTCTCTTCAGACCCGGAGTAACAGCAGCCTAGTCCGTGTGGGTGACTGGGGTGGGGGGCTCAATCCATCAAAGCCGTGTCCCTTCCCTCACGCCCCCCCCTCCCCACTTTGAGGGTTAGACTTGGCTCCGATCCGCCATTTGGGCAAGGCGGTCACCGTAAAACCGAAACAGACGCCAGCCATCTTGGAGGGTGAGGTTCTCGCCCCCGCGCCGCAACAGGAAAGCGGTGTTTTCGGGCTTGAGGTAGGAAGCGTGCATGCGAAGCTCGGCGCAGCCCTCTTGCCAGGCAGCCTGGAATATGGGGAGGGGGGCAAGCAGTTTGCAAAGGGTCAGCGGGCCCCCCACCCGACCCACCCACCCAACGTGGCTTTTGCCCCATCTGGACTGGGACGGAGGAGACCCCGGGGGGCGTCTTGAGAGACGACGTCTGCCTTCGATGGGCAAATTTGGATCTAGGGTGTTTTTTCTAAAGCAGCAGGCGAGAAATTGGGAGATTGGGAGTTCTAGTTCTGCTTTAGGCATTGAGGCTGGATGGTTGACTTTGGGCCAATCACCAGGAGACTGGGAGTTCCAGTTCTGCTTTAGGCATTGAGGCTGGCTGGGTGATTGCGTGTCAATNCAATCTTTCCCAGCATTAGGCTCTTCTCCAGTGAGTCCTTCCTTGTCATTAGGTGGCCAAAGTATTTGAGTTCCATCTTCAGAATTTGGCCTTCTAAAGAGCAGTCAGGGTTGATCTCCTCTAGGACTGACCGGTTTGATCACTTTGCAGTCCAAAGGACTCGCAGGAGGTAGGTGGGTAGTGGTAGCTCGGCATATAATCCTCTTCATACTCTCTGGTTATTTTGTTTAGTCATACATTTTTTATTTAATTAAGAAATGCATTTAAACAAACGTGCTAGCTGTCAGCAGTCTCATTTTCATTTCCATACAAAATCCACAAATATTACACGATTCCTGTTTAGCTGTATTTTGAACAATGGACAATGAGAGAGGGGGGGGGGGTATTGTATATATCAGCAAGTTGATTCTATGTGATATGTGTGTTTTGGCTAGAATTGTGTGCACAGGCTGTGACATTTGCATTGTGTTTATTTAGACTACATATGTATGTAGATTTCTTTGAACATCATCAGGCTGCCATCCATAAAATTGCAATTCGATTTCTGGGAATTGGCCTTATACCCCTTGTCTTAAAGGGGGGGGGGAGAAACCACATCAATAAAATGTTGAATAATAAACAAGAGCAAATCAAAACCACACAGAGGTGAACGGAAAAAAAATTGTTTTGTCAAACAATGTACATCATCAGTCTACATCTTGTGAAATGATTATTGGAAAAGAAAGCTGAAATGAAAAGGATGATTCTGGAGTTCAGACTTAAAGTTTGGTCGTGTACTTATGATTTTTTTTTTAGTTACCTTGTATTTATTAATAAATTATAAAGGGGCATCCAACAGTACGGCTCTGGGCAGTGTGCAGCAGAAAAGGAAAACAATAAACCAATTCCCCAAACTTTGTTACCATTCAACATGAACAATATAAAAATGCAAAATACAGAATATCATATAGCAACCAAGCAACCAAACAAACTAACCACAAGTCTTAATGGCTTTCCTGTGAGCAGGAGTTGGGACCTGTTGAGCGTCAGGGAGGAGATGGCTGCAGAAAACCACCACAAAACCGTGGTCGACTAAAGCGCGCTCGACGAAACCGCGTACCTGACATCATCACAGCGAGACGAAAACAGCATGCTGTGAGCAGTAAAGCTAAAATTAACACG